ATTGTATTGAGTCCAATCCTTAAAGTTGACGGAGTGACCTCCAGCTACTTTAAACCGAAAAGACTCACAGGATGATCCTTTGCCTCCGGCACAAAACCGCTGTCCAAAAGATATATATTTATACCCTCACCCTGCGAAGCTTCGAGCCATGTTTCTCGTTGTGCTCCATAGGTAGCAACCCCTCGGCGTAAATCTAGGGCGGTAGGTGGAGGGGTTGACATTACCCGTACGTCAAACGGAAGATCTAGCTCAACTAACGTGTCGCGTTTTTGTAAGCCTGGAGGTTTGGGTGCTTTTGCCATCTTCCTCGGAATACGCTGTACTGAGTGTGTTAGGTTTCCAAGCGCCCGCTTCTGCGTACTGTGTCCTTGGTTTGCTCTCCTCTCGGCTGCTCTGGCTAACCACTCCTGCCTCATTACCCATTGAATCTTCCTTTTCTCTTCTTCCCCCAATTTTTTGTTCGTATTGGCCACCGATACCACGTTGAAAACCCCTGCCATCTACACCCATCAAGTTAACAGCAAGCACGTGAGTTGATAAATTTGGCTACCCAAAACAGACTCGTATACGGAATATGCTTGTCTCGCAAGCTAGATCTGACCTTCACACAAAACGAATATGCCGACTACTCTCTATGATTGGCAAATTCGGGAACCTCGAAAAAATGACAGAACACCAAAGCAGCTAAAATGCGGACCCCGACTCACCTTTGAAAGAAAGTCTTCCTCTTGTTCTATAAAACTCAACGCATGTTCGTTTGTAACGGAGAAAATTACACAAAACGGCCGGAACGGTAGAGATCGAAATTCCCATTCCGCACAATACCATGTTGGTCGACCTTCCGTACCAGTTTCTTCCCCGAAGTGATGATCTAATTTTTCGTCCAATTCCTGGCGAACATCCTCTGACATTCCCTGGGAGGATTGCAGAATTATAGCGACTGAAGTTTCCTCCTTATCTTGAATGGAATCTGGCCATCCAAATTTGGTGCGAACTCGGTCTAGATTGCTCCTCTTCGAGTTGTTTAGTGTATTATTGCCGGAAGCACTGAAGTTCTTAAAATGTTCCCTGCTTGGTGGTTTATTTACCTCCGGGACGTGTCGTGGCTCAATAGTGATACTGAGAGCTCCATGAAGTAAGGCGGAACCAACGAAAAGGATCCTAGCTTTCATCGGGCCTGTTTATCTATTATAGATGTATTGGGTTTTCTAGCCTCAGCTTACCGCGTCAGAGAACAATTATACGACCCAGTCTCTGCTGTGTGTGTGAAGAGCACACCTCAGTAGAATAGCGTTAAGAAACCTATTGCTAATTTTCTGTCAACAGGGAAAGGCATTTTGGGCGACCGAGAATTGTACGCCTTGTAGCCTACTATATAGACCACCAGTCCGAATATTTGCCATTGCGGCAGTATTAATTTTGTGGAGGTGGTCCAGGCTGGAGGGGTTGGTGCGGCGCATTTACCAGGAGAGCTGGATTACTAACATCACATCCCTCTCCGAAACGTTCGAAACGCGAAAGAGTTAGTCTACAGTTACTAGCGCCGCCACTGCTTACCTCGCGGCCCCACACAGTGCAATAAACGCTGTAGTTAGGGTGCATTGGACATACTACGAGACTAGCATTGGACTTGCAATGGTCTTGCAAATATCTTGTAATAGACTTCCCTCGGGCCCTCGTCACATTAATTTAAAGCTTCCTCGTTTCGACAACTGCATCAAGGAATTTTGGCAACTCGTACGTATGAGAAACCACTCGACCAACCGGGGCACAGCAGCGCAGCAAAACGACCCGACTTTGAAGAAGTTGTGGCGAAGGTCGAAATTTCGTCTCAGGGAACAATGCCTTCGCGCTATAGACCGACTATTGTCATTTGCCAACCAGCATAATTCTCGGAAATTCGAATTCTAACGTACTGAGGCACAGGTCCGCGACCCCGAAAAAGTTACAAATCGCTCACTCCTAGTGCAAGAGTAAGTAGAAACCTAGCGGCCTTTTAGCGTGGAGCTCTGTAGAAGGTGCATTATGTTTGCAGCCATCTCTCTGCTCTCCGTGTCATATTTTTGGAGGTCTATCGACGACCTAGAACCGCGGCTGATTAGACCGGATGATTGGCCCAAGCCTCATGACACAGAATTCCTAAGTAGACGTATTAAATAATAATACTCAGCACTACAAGCACCGCATGGATACAGTTCAAATTTGCATTGAAACTTTAGCTCGGAGCCCCAAGCAACGTTTATTATATCATCAAAATAAAGGCTCGCTTAAAAGACAGTGTAATGCTAAGTATCGCGAGAAAAGATAAAGAAATGAACTATTCATATCCATATGCCTGCATATCAATGTCGCTCAATCAGATTCATCTTCGCCCACAGCATGATCCTCCCCGCCAGTAGCTCCGAGATAAAAGCTAATAGCCTTTTCAAACGCTACTTTCCGCCGCTGTTCAAGAGCATCCGCCTCAGGCTTAACATCAACCGGCGCCTTTTCCAGCATAACCTTGGATAGTTCCAAGCTTGCCTCCTGACTCTTCTCAATATTCCGCCTCACAAGACCTATGAACGTCCTGGTCAGAATTTTATATCGATACCCTGCGTTGGACAGAGACTTACCTCCGACGTGTAGTTTGTCAAAGTTGGGCTTATTCTGCATTAACAGCTCTAGCTGGGTCTCCGTTAATGTCACAATGACATTCATCTTATCCAGCGTTTGCCGTGTCTCCTCAGCGGTGGGATCAGTGCCCTAAATGATGTTAGTTATGGATCCGTAGAGCGTATGTACATATCAAGGGCGTAGTGAGATCGGGTCTCGACTTACATCGTATTCCTTGATACCCTTCCTAATCGTAGAAACTACGGAATTGCTCTTTTGTCCGAGCTTGATGGCGTCTCCTAGTTTAATGCCGGTGCCTTTAGCTAGAATCTTGTTGGCCTTGCCGACCTTACGCTCGATGTCCGAAAGGTTCTTTGCGACTTTATCCATTGTAGTAAATTCTGTAAATGAGATGCGTCGGTGTAAATAGATGTAGTTTGTGAGTGTTGAATATAATATTTGAAGGTATTCTCTGAGTGGAAGCAGTGGTGTCGTGGAGAGAGGTTGAACAATCTGTAGAAGCTGACAGTCATATATATACAAAATGACCGAGCATGCAAAGGCTCTATCTACGGATATCCGGCTCTATATTTGGACGTCCAAGTCGTGTCTCTTCTTCGCACAATATATGCGTGTTACAGTGTAAGTCGGCTAACCTAATTTGCAAGGCTGAACCGATCAAGCCTTGAAACAACCGCAAGTCTATAAGAGACCTTATAACTGTGAGTCTCGTTTCTGGACGGACGAGTGCGCTGTTGACCGATCGACGGACATGTTGTTGTGTTGCTGCGTTGAGCAACGTAGATCCGTAGCAGCCAGCCAACGCAAGAAGAAGATTCCTTCTTCGCCTCATCATCAACCTCATCTCCTCAGTTCATCTTCGATACAGCTATAATGCGTTTTACTGTCGCAAAGAGAAGCGGGAGATCGAGGGTACCCATTATGTCGGCAAGGGTGCGAGTTTGACCCCTGAATTTCAATACAATACGACGGAGAGCCCGGTTAGTGACGAAGGGTTTCACCAGGGATGACTAGGAATGAAGTTGTTTGACACAAACGTCATATCTCCGATATTAGACGGCTGTTACTTAAGCAGCTGTCTTGAGTCTCTTCAGCATTATAGCATCGCGGATTACCTATCGAGTTCGAAAGCAGTACAGAAAACATATGAAGATATTGTGGAGTTGCTCCGGCGGAAGGGCATTGATATAATTAACGGCCCTTGCGAGTCCCCCGCCAGTAATAAGCATCTATGCGAGGCACTCATATTTGGGCGAGAAATGTCCTTCAAGAAGCCCAAGGGCGCCACTTCGTACGCGGGTTCCAAGCAGAGATTTGAACACTGTAGGATCCACTTTCTTGATATATATCGGCAGTACGATGCCTATAACTAAATTATCATATTATCACTTTTTAGCATGGGGCGGAATACTGAAGAAAAGCAGGGAAGATCTCGCGCTTGCCTGTGAGAGGGACATCAGAGGGTACTCATTTTTGACCCGAGATGACAATATGCACAAACATTTCGATCTGGCATTGAGAAACTAGGGATCAACGCCTACTTTATCCCCAAAGTCCCCATTGTAAGATGACATTGGTAAGAGGACCCTTGAACACCAAAGTAAGCCTTGGGGTATAGATACGTGGTTTCTAATTATAATATTTTGCCGTTTAGAAGTACCCTACACCGCCTTTTAATAAGCCCTACGGCGCGATCATATATGCTACCACTCTGGAAAAGTATATAAATCCCTGAAATCGCCGCTTGCTAGAGTCCTGTCAATGCAGACACCTTAACACTGGGCGACCGGTGTAGAAACCGTGCCGAGACTGAACCCGATGCGGTATACTGGTATAGTCGCAATGTGCAACTCTTCCTTAGACATCCCTCCCCTTGTTGTATTGTTGTTATTATTTTCTTTGGTAGCCGACGAGCTGTCGATTGTACTGACCAGCTGGTGCTTCTCTGAAGGGCTATAATGATGTAACTGATCAATCCGATAGAACTATATCCACTATACATCCCCCTTTCAATGGAAATTTACTTCCAGCACACAGTCGTATTCGTGTATGTCGCGAGAGACAGTGTCGCAGTTCGCGGTAAGTATTCAGCTCCAACATCCGCTCGTGACATCGCATTGTTGCATTGGCAGGAAGAGTTGGCAGGTTGGCAGTTGGATATGGCGGTATTTTTAGACCGACCTTATGGTCACTAGCTAGTCCGTGCAATTGACGGAAGGATGTTGAAGGACACTGAAGGAACTAGAGCGTAGGTCGGAACAGAGTACTTGGAACGTTCCTGTGTTGGGATTGTTTGTTTGTCCTTTCAACACTGCTGTTTTGGGCACCAAGGAACGGGTTAAAAAAAAAGGTTTTTGCTCGCTCAAAAAAATGGCAAAAAGAAATGACCAATGAGCGATTCGAACGCCCAGCCTTTCGATTTCACGAACTTGATGTTTCAAAGTCCTCTGGAGTCGAACGCGCTACCGTTGCGCCAATCAGTCTGGAGGTGGTTGAAGACAATCGAAGGAAAGTGCCCTTATAAAGTAACCATAAAGCCCGCACACCACAGGAGGAGTACTCGCAAGTCGAGAACCAGCATACTTCTACTAGCCTCTCGGACAATGCCAAATAATCAATGCTAAGCGATCACGGCCCGTGCCTACAATCGTCTGACAGGGCTGATCTATCAGGAGATCTTGCAGGCTTTGTTCTCTTTATGTGCCATGCGTGTTGCATAGTTCACATTGGCGAGCTTACGGCTTCGGCGACTCCATTCGTTGTTGTATCTTTCTTTTTTTAGTGATGTTAGGCATAGGCTGTAAGGGGAGCTCGACGCAATAAGCCCGCCTAAACATTCGTGTTCGTGATTTAAAACTGTGAAGCGTCAACATCCAGGGCACGAGCATCGCGAAATTATCACAGAGCCGTTATCTGTCGCAGCCGATACGAGAAACTAGTCCTAATATAGTTTTTCTGCTGGCAAGGATTCTGACTGTACACGTCCGGGGTGGACACCTGACGAAAAGGCTGCCACTCGATTAGCGAGTTCGATGGACGCCCAACACTACCAGCTGAAGATTCCACCGTTGAGATACGGCTCGATTAGTCACAATTGGTTGGCTAAGCTTCATTCGGCGCTGTCAAAAAAACGGACGTCTACACCGATATGGCCAAGTTCGTCGGTCTGCACGAGATATTGGAGAGTGCTGCATGTTGGATGGTCTGTGTCCTGTCTGTTTGTTCCTTCGTTGGACGCAGCTTATCCGGACGTTGAAGGACGGTTTCGAGCAATCTCTCAAGCCATTTCACCAATCTGGCACTGGAATACCGGTTAAAAGACGAGATACGGAGTGGTTCCTGGCTGTGATACCTACAAATATGTATGAAAGTGTCACGGTAATTTCCCCAAGGCATCCAGACAGTGAGAATGCCAATACGGAGATGGAAGGGGTAGATCTCGACGCCACACAAGAGGCACAGTTCGTATTCTATATTGAACAATGCCATAGCTCACTATACAGCATGTAGCCTGAAGGCCTCCCGGGTTTTCTATCCACAGGAACCTGATGTATCCCATCGCGCAGAATTTGTGGGTGTGTCTTGGTAGCGGTGCTAACAAGTCGTGGTGGGGGCGGGAGGAAACTCACAACTTTTTACACAGGATCATGCGTCTGTACAGCGCACAGCAACCTGTGCTTTTATAAGATGGATGGTGCCCGCTTTTGTCTAAGTTCTGATCTCATACGATCATGACAATCAAAGCCATTATATCGATAACTACCCCATCGATCCATTGTTTGGACTCGATCCCGATAACTTGGGCCCGCATCGCGCTATCTCCAAGGGTGTCGAAATGGGTTTTACTACTTTCGCTTGGGCGATCGGAATCGCTAATCTGGTCGGGAGCTTGAGTTCCGCTGTGGGGTCTGGATTTATCGTCTTTACATATTTGGTGCTTCCGATCAAACGTCATTTTCGACATTCTTTGATCTTGAACCTTGCGATCGCTGGTACGTATTCTCTGTATCTGAATTTTTCCATTTTAATGTACTTCCGTATTTACAGACCTTTCAAATGCAATATCGTCCCTAACTGTAACCTTGTTGCTAACCAACATTTTGACTATAGATTTCATCTGCAGCATCAATAACTCAATCAGCGGCTCCTGGCGTCTAGCAAATCGACAAGAACTACCCGTTAGCAAGGGTTGCATCGCCAACGGCTTTATAGAACAGGTCTCCGTCCAAGGCACCGATACCTCCATCTTCGCCATCGCCGTCGTAACAGTCTGGGCACTCACCCGCGGAACCCTCATTCGAGAACATCTATCTCGTACCACTACATTCCTCATCTGCGCATCATGCTGGATCCTCCCTCTCGCCAATGCCACCGCTATTCTAGTTATGGGGCGGTACGGCCCTGTATCTGGGAATTGGTGTTGGATTAAGGTTAAGCCGGTTTACTTTCGATATGTCATGATGCATGGGTGGAGATTTGCGTTTATATTCAGCGAGATTGTGATGTATACGTACTTGCACATCTATCTTCGAAGGAGATTTGCGGAGATCGACGATCGTCTGAAGCTCAACTCTGGTAGCAGTAGCAAGTCGAGAGATAGGGGTACAATCTTCATGGACGCACTAGGAAGCCCGAGACAGGCGGCTAAAACACAATCACAAGTCAAGCTAAATGAAGTCGAAGATGCTGCGGTAGATAGCAGCTCTAACGCCGAGTTGGGAGGGGTATACGTCGAAAGGGACATTGAGCAGTATTCGATAGCACAAAGATGGACCGCAGACGGCCTCGATGATAAAAACACAGGACCCGATCTCGTCACCACGATAGTATCTCCAAACAGCCAAGTCCAAACGCCTGCCAGCGCAACTTTCAAGCGCGCCAAAACATCGAGGCTACAGAGGTTGAGATTCCAGTTCGCCCACCCCTTCGCCCACCGCAGCGCCGAAGATGACGACCTCTACGACCAAGAGGAAGACCGTCAAAAGGGGAAAAATAGCGATGCCGCAAGCTCAACTTCGCGATCCAGGCGCGTTCGACGAATCCTGTTACTAAACGCTTACCCTGCTATGTATATCTTACTATGGATCCCAGGGATTATCAATCGATTGGTGGAGGCGACTGGGAATCGCAGTAATGTAACTGCTCTGCTACAAGCGAGTACGCAGTTTGTCGGGTTGGCGAATGCGATCACCTATGGCTGGAACGAGAGGGTGGGAACTCAACTCCGGGACACGATTGCGGGGTGGAGAGCGGGGACTCGGGATGTGGTTGAGTTATCGCGTTAGCGTTTGTGTGTGTAGGGGTCTAGACCTGCTTTTAGATTTTTGGTGTTTTGGTGTTTGAGGTTTCGTCTTATCCTAGTCCTTGTTTTAATTAACTCGTGCAATAATATCTTCGTCTCAATACTTTAATTGCTATATCTCGGCGGCTCTAATTGTATTCTGCCTAGGATAAGGCCTATAAACTGAGATATTGCCACCGAGCCCCCAGGATGGGATAGGCCCATTTGTGCGAGAGTAACCGCGTGCTGTAGCGGATTCCAAAATATTAAAGTTTTAAAACTAAAAATCGTGAGGACTCGTCTAATTCTAGACCCGGGCAAGATGCTACCCTGCCGACGGCTTTCGCCGAGTAGCTTTTGATTGCGGAATTCAATTTGTTGCCGCTACCATACTTGTGCGATTTAGCAATTACAACTAGCCGCCTACAAGCCCTTAACAGTGACGGCTCCCTGCGGAAGGGTTTATTTTAGAGGTACAGCCGCCAGAATCGGATCCGCCACGGCGGGTTGAGTGGTAAAAGCAGGTGTTGTCTTGCTTCCATCAACAATCCTCTGTTGCTCTGCAGCCAGGATAAGAGCAGGGCCCAAGGCGGCACTCTCTGCCGCTACATATATATATAGAAGTAAGTCCGGTTCGACGAAGGCCCTAGTCAAGAATTTGATGATATTGCCGCCAACGATAGGGATAAGGCCGAAAATCACATTGGCATCAAGGACAATCGGGTCGGAAACCACTAACTATAGATTCTTGGTAGACGATTGATTCAGACTTACTGTAATTCAATATTTAAAATATTTATGTTCTGCTCATTCCTTAAGTAGAATGATGCGCTATCACCAATATGTGGGCCAATGACCTCATTTATAACTGATAAGTGAATAAAAGCGGTAAAATATGAGCTAAATCACCACCACCGGTATAAAATGCGCGGCAGGGATAACTCGGCACACCAGAAGCTTTACAATGGGTTTCGCCGTCGGAATTTTAGATTGCGCCAGCTATCCTAAAGGACGATCCGGAGGCTGAAGCGGGTAGAGACCGGGTTTTACAAGTTGTCCCACGTTCCTCACAGCTCTAGCGCATCTTTTGCGTGTGTTCGCATTATTAAATACACACTATTAGTACCACATTTATGCAAGGCCACTCCATATACTACTGTGATAGCAGCGAAAGATTATGTCAAAAAGGTATCCTTTTGTGATAGTTAACGTACTAACTTTCGACAGCTATTGGCGACGTGTTGTGAAGTTCAGCGCCACACCAGGTTCAAATTCCCGTTAACAGAGCGTTTGGGATAAGGCTAATGCCTAAGCATAATAGCTACCCCACATCCCGGCACAGGTTTTGTCTGACGAATGTCTCGGCAAGGTTGCAGAAGGCCATTTTCGTACATGGTGGAAGTTAAAACACCATAACCCCACGGGGTCCTTGGGGAGCTCCACCAGACTTTTAAATCACAAGTACTTATATATATACCCGAATAACCTCCTAGTTCAATTTTATCTCGGCAACGCTGCAAACTGTCCTCAAAAATGGTAGTCAATTAGACTAATCTATCTGAAACCCCTTACACGTTTAAAGTGACCAGATGCATTAAAACTGACCCCATTGACGGGGTTCAGGACGGTACCTCCCGCCCAAGACCGTTGGGCCTCAACACAAAAACTGCAACAATCCCTTGTCATACCTCGCTAGAGCCCCCATGTCGGGCAGGGATCAACGGATGTGGAATAGCCCGACTTCAACGTTCAACAATCGACGTCCCCTTTGGGAAACCCTTGTGAGACGGAAACAGACGTATCGGGCATTCCGGAGGAGACGTATGTACCACTATTAAGCCCTTTTTGTTATTCTTTCTCGGGTGGCGGTTCGATCGCGTCTTCTTTATCTTGGTGGATACCTCATTGTCCTTCTCGGATCGAACTTTACGATAGTTATTACCGTGCAGCTGGAACCTTTAAAGCTCTCCGGTTGTCTGGTGCCTGGTCGGGGAACTTCTTGTGCTGGTATTGGTACTGGTAGCCGTGGAGGCCTAATCAAGAGGATCGGATCTGCTTCTCCCACCGAAAGGATCAGGTACCGTCGAATCGGTACGGTACGTCGTCGTCACTAAGTTTAAACTGACCTGCTGCGACTAATTTTGGCCTCAGGATCAAGAAGCCATGGCTATCACTCGCCTTTTCGGCTTTAGAAGAAGAAAG